AAGAAAAATTTACTAAGAAAGACAAAAGCTTGTTTTAACTGCCTAAAAATTGGGCATGCTGCCGAAAAGTGTAAGAGTTCTGTGAAATGCCTAGTTTGCAACAAACGTCATGTAACGGTGATGTGCAGAGAACTAAAAGGTTCTAGAAGTTCAAAAAAGGAAGCACCTGAAGCAGCTAACGAAACGAGTGAGACTTTATTGTCTAACCAAACACTGCAAACAACTCTTCTCCAAACTATTATGGTGAAGATTAATGTAATGGAAAAAAGGAGCTTGTGAGAACGCTTTTTGACAGTGGGTCACAAAGATCTTACTTACGGAAAGACATAATAAAGAGACTAGATTTAGTCGCATTAGATCAAGAGACTTTGAGCCACAATTTGTTTGGTGGAGTTGAAACTGAATCTCAGGTCCATGGTATTTTTGATATCGAAATACAAGGAACGGAAAATAAATTCAAATACGAATTATCGGTTTTAGATAAAGACAAAATTTTGGATACATTCCTAGAGTGAAACTCAAACATATATGTTCCTCACTTCGAGAACATAAAATCAAAATCAGTGATGCTGGTAGAGATACTCCAGATATCGGATTGTTAATAGGAACCGACTATTCCGGACTGTTGATGACGAATAATATCATTCCAATTGACAAAAACCTTATTGCCATTGAAACAAAATTGGGTTGGACCCTACAAGGCCCAGTGCAAAGTCATAATACCTTGCTTGATACCGTCAGACTTTGTTATTTGCATCTCACAGAACTATGGAATTTAGAGACAATTGGCATAAAAGATCCGGCGGAAGCGAAAACTAAAGAGAACTTAGAAACTGAAACGATCAAATTTTTCCTAGAGAACATTAATCGAGGGAAATAGGTAGGAAGTCTGTTTGCCTTGGAAGGATAGTCATCGGATTCTTGGAGATAATAAAGATAAAGCGGAAAAACGACGTTTCGCCAATACACGAAGACTGCAGAAGATGGTATTATTAAAGGCTGGTACGAGGAAGGTATAATTGAAATAGCTCCGAATAATAGTGATACTGGTCACTATTTATCTCATCAAGCAGTAATCAAGGATTACAGTCTGACTACGAAACTGCGACATGTATTGGATGCATCATTGAAGGATGAAAATGGGAATTCCTTGAATGGTTGCCTCGAAAAGAGGCCGAATTTAATAGAAATTCTTCCAAAACTTTTGCTACAATTGGTATTATGTAAATCAAGAGTAGCGCCTGCCAAAAAGGTAACTATTCTTAGATTAGAGTTGCTTGGAGCACTTATAGCTACACGGCTGTACCGTCAAGTCATTGACGCTCTTAAATTGACAAAGTGCCAGGTGTACTTTTGGAGCGAGTCGTCTGTAGTTCTGACATGGATAAAAAAAGACTCCCACTGGAGTGTTTTTGTGGCCAATCGTGTAGCTGAAATAAGGAGATGCACAAATCCGGACGACTGGCATTATGTACCAAGCTTAAGCAATCCAGCTGATCTTCCCTCTAGCGGGTGCGATGCCAAAATGTTGCTACAGAGCAGATGGTGGGAAGGGCCGGATTGCCTTAAACAGGAGCCGGATAAATGGCCTCTCTCTGAAGAGTCAGAACTAGAAACTGATGAAAATACAGCTAATTAAGAAAAAAGGAAAAATGTGGTTTCCTGCGTTTCCTGTAGAACCCCAAACTTTTCAGAAACATTCACTCGATTTTCTGGATATTATAAAAATGTCAGAGTATTAGCTTGGATCTTTAGATTTCTTAACAACAGTCGTTATAGAAAAAACGAAAAATTTAATAAGGAATAAACCTCAGAAGAAGTGAGTTTTGCAGAGAAAAGGTTGTTATATTTAATCCAAGCCGAAAACTTTCGGAATACTGATGGAAAAAATTTGAAAGGGATGATTACATTTAAGGATGACTTTGGACTTCATCCAGTAAGAAACAAACTAATTTTAAGTGACGAAGACGAAAACTTTAAGTGTCCTATTCTATTGCCAGGGAACCATGCACTAGTCCATCGCCTAATAGAATAGAAACATCGGCGACTGCAGCATGCAGATACAGGGACCTTGATCTGCAACTTGCGAGAAGATTATTGGATTGTCAGTGTGAGACGTCTTGTGAAGAGAATTTGTTTAGTCGTCTTGTGACGTCTTGTGAAGAAGACGAAGACAAAGAAAAAAAGGAATAGTAAGTGTGTTATTTGTAAAAGATTCAAAGGCAAATCTGTTCAACCACCAGTTGCACCCTTAATCAAAGGACCGCATTAAATATGCTGGAGCTTTTGAGGTCACTGGCATCGATTTGGCTAGCCCATTGTATGTATTGTCTGGCGATAAATCATGGATTGTGATTTTTACTTGTGCGATCTATCGTGCTGTGCACTTTGAATTGACGAAATCTTTATCAGCAGATTCATTTATAATGGCACTCCGAAGATTCATTGCAAGAAGGGGTAGAATAAGCATCTTATATACTGACAATGGTACCAACTTTGTAGAAACGAATAATGTACTAAACGAACTTGATTGGGAAAAAATAATGGAGTTCTCAACAATTGAGAAGATTAAATGGAAGTGTAATCCTCCAACCGCTGCCTGGTGGGGAGGATTTTGGAAGAGGTTGGTAAAAGACGGATGGTAAAAGACTTTTTAAGACAAGTTTTGGACTCTAAAACGGTCAGTTACATTGAGCTGGAAACTATACTATGCGACTGTGAAGCAACAATGAATTCACGACCCTTAACTTACTTAGAAGACGGGACTGCGGAGTTAAACCCATTGATACCTGCATATTTTATACAAGGAATCCCTCACCATGATGTAAAGGATCTAGATACTATAGACAGCAAAAGTTTAAATCGTCGCTTGCGGTATTTACAAAACCTTCGGATTGATTTACGCTCGAGATTCAGAAATGAGTACCTAGCCATGCTAGTCCATAGAAGAGAACGAAAAGGAGACACTTTAGAGGTGAATAATGTGGTGCTGATTGGAACTCCGGAAAAGCGCATCAACTGGCCACTGGGACTTGTTGTCCAAGTATTTCCAGGTACAGATGGTCATGTAAGAGTGGCAAAAGTAAAAACGGCTGACGGAAAAAAATAAGACTCGCCCAAAACCTGTATCCTTTAGAAGTGACTCGTCCCTCAGAGCTACCTCAGCCTCAAGTCTCGTTAAATCCAGATCAAGATGCGGATCTTGGAAGTTCCCCCCTACTACCAACATCTCTGGAGGGTCAGATTGATACCTCAAGGATAGTTGAGCCTTTGACTGAGTCCCCTACAATAGGCAGACCCATAACCACTAGGGTCGGAAGACAAGTAAAAGTTCCTCATCGACTGAATCTCTGAACTGAGTAGAAAATACGTTGCAATTTCCTAAAAATTGCAAGGTGGGATGGATGTTCAGGAACGTGCACGAACTCCGTTAATACACAATAATTTAATATGTTCATTATAATGTAGATTTTTTGTGGCAACAGTAATTATTTTATATTGCTTTGAGCGTGATAGCGCATGGAATGTTACATTTTGTTATGTTTAGAATGCTAAATAAAATAGTTCGTTGTTAATTAAAAAGGTTTTCTTTGTTAAATATATTACCATTCGTCCGAAGTTATTAAATAAGTCAGGAAATTGATTATTTTCAAACATCCGTGCAACCGTCTACCAAAGTAAAACCCATAAAAACACTATAACTGCGGTGATTATTTGCGCAATAGAATCAGTTTCAAAGAAAGCAATCTTTATTATCACGAAAGAAAAAATATAACTCTGCTAGAGTTGTTACATCTTTTTCAAACTTGAATATCCATTACTGTTGCCATACACAAATTACTAAACTATACTAACAAAATCTGAGTGAGGCTTGCACGTGAGTCGGGAAATTATAAAACACAAATAATAAACATTAAAATAACTAATGCATTATTAACAACAACAAGGAAGTATGAAACCAATCAAAGTATGAAGCCATCGTCTCTTAAAAGATATCTTGAATCTAAGCATGCCAATTCAAAGGATAAATCTGAAGAAAATTAAGAGGAAATTATCGGAGTTCAAAAATAGTAGACGTGTAATGAAAGGTTTTGTTACTTCATGTGAAAAAGCTCTGGAAGCTAGTTACTTGGTAAGCCTAAGAATTGCTAAGACTTCCCAGGCTCGCACTATTGGTGAAAACCTTATATTACGAGCAACCAAAGATATCGTTTTAACAAAAGAGGCTAATGAACTTGATAATATTCCGTTATACAGCGACGGAGCTCGAGCTTTAGCAGGAAAATATTCCGGAGAGATTTCTCAAATGAAGAAAGTCGCACCTGAAATTAAATTTGCAACGATGTTTAATTAACAAACTCAATGATTTCAAAGCGAATAATGGCAAAACTGAACAGGGAAAAAAAGAAAAAACAAGATTTTTTATCTCCAGCACGCGAGACTGTGTATCCGAAATTCCAAAGATATGCTCATTTTAAAATTGTTTTGCGATATTGCTCTTGAACCGAATTTTATCGTTTAAGGGCGAAGAACATATTGAATAAATAAAGGTAACACACAAAAGGTTAAAAAAGAGTCCATTTGGGCGTAATGTAAAAGTTCAGAGCTTTCAGATTTTATTATTATTATTATTATTATATTATTATTATTGTTGTTGTTGTTATTTAATATTTCTATTCAGAAATTGAAAAATAATTATTGTAAAATGTAGTGGTGGTACTAAAGGTTTTCAGTTTTTGTTTAGATGGTACGCGTTAGTGAAAAGGTTGAAAACTGCTGCTCTAGATAGAAAAACATTTTCCTTGCCATTGTTTTCTAAAATGTTTTCGCTCATAACGATTTTTTTCTGATATGCTAAAATAATTATTTCTTCCGCAATGTTTTCAATCATAAGTATCCCCTTTTAGAATGATGAAATAATTGTTTGAAATGTTTCCACTTTATTGACGAGAAACATGTTTCGTTCTTTTTTTTTTTTTTTTTTTTTTTTTTTTTTGTAGTCGGCAGACAAGCTTACGGACTGAATCGAAACTATGAAGCTTCAAAAATCGTTACAGGTGCTTCTGGCGCAGCAGGTTTACGAATGGGACTAAATGGTAATGCACAATCATAAAATAATTGAGTAATGCTTTAATTATTTTTAGCCAGTTCTAGAAATGTGTTTTTAAGTAGAAATATCATATTTCTTGAATATTTCTAGTTGATTAAACGAAATCATTAATAAAAGTTACATATCCTTCGTTAAATATGTACTTCGTAAATCATGTCTTTTTAGCAATTATCATGCATTCTCTATGTACCTGTAATATGATGCAATAAAGATATATCTTGTTTCTTGTATAAAGCAATTCTATTTTCAACTTATTCTTAATGGTGCTCTGCGCAAGTCAACCTTCGCAACCCAGATATATGATATATGTTTTTAATGCAATCAGGCTTTGCCTATAAATTGTATCTGAAACTGACAGTTTGCAGTATTTTGATGGACGAAGATTTATTCTGTTGAAACTTGTGCTAACTGTAATTTTATCTTTTAAAACAACAGTGAGAGACCTGAAAAATCGTTTGAATGATTAAATCGACTGTAAGAACTCTGAAAATTCGTAAAATATTTAAAAATATTTTAACATGATTTCATTTTAATTTGGTTTAAATATATTTAATTTTATCATTATCTAATGCCTAGAGGAAACACTAAACATTAAATTTAAAAACTGCAAAATATTTTACTCTGCAGAACAATTTTATTAGAAAAAATTCAATAAAAATATATTAAATATAAGAAAATTACAATGAAATAAGGGATACCCTTAATACAAATACTAATTATCCTAACAAATTAACAATCTTCCCGTTGCCTTTTCCGACAAACGTCCAGTGTCCAAGTGAAACATTAAATTTAAAAACTGAACAGAATTATCGCCCGCATTTTTCCGAGGGGCAACAGTGCTGATATTAGCAACAATGGCAAGAGTGATATATCAGCAGCCATGGTTGCGTGCCGTTGCTGCTGATATAATGAAAGAAAATTATCGATTTGATGCGATTTCATCAAAAAACATAAAATAAAAAATCTGATTTAAATTTTGAAAAAAAAAAAAAAAAAATTCGCTTAGGTAGCTCCATGCACCTATGTACACTGCCTATGTACCTATGTACTTGTCTAGATGCACCTATGTACACTGCGCAAAAAAAAAAAAAAAAAAAAAAAAAAAAAAAAAAAAAAAAAAAAAAGGAACAGTTCTATATCTCCCGTTCTACTGGGCCGATTGACGAAATTCAAATTGCGTTCTTCATATCTCGAAGTGCGACTTATGATGATATATATTAAATTTACATATAGCTTTGTTATAATATAGGTATTTTGACACAAAATCGGACTTTTTCTGAAATAACATACCAAATGTTTTCCATATTTAGATTCTACTCAAATTATGCCTAAATATTAACTTTTGTGAAATTAAAAGAGAAGTTTACGGAGAAATTCAAAAATTTAGCTTGGTTTATTTCTTTTTAGTTTGCGTCAAGAATAATTCTCTTGGCGAACTTCTCAATTGATAGCAACATATTTTCCATTCCCTTTTTACATTGAGCATGAGGGAAAAAAGTCACAATGTTTTTACTTTCAAATAATTTTAACAAAGTGCGTAAACCACATCAGATGCTGTTATCGCTTTCAACAGATATGCCAAATTTCAAAACGCGCCCACGCATTTTTTCGGAAATTTTGAATAAAAAGTTATAATTTTTTACAGGGATGCTTGGAAATACATCTACTTGGTGTATGATTAAAATTATATAGATCATCATTCAAAGTGTTTTTCGAAAAATTTATAAAAATTATTTAAAAATACAAATTAAAAAAAAATAAATCATAAAAAATTAGTGAAATTTATTTTTAATGAACCTAAATTTTGAACTGTGAAAGATGGACTCACGTAAGCGTAATAAAAAGAGAGATATTAATATATGCATACCATAATGAATTAACACTGAGCAGCTAAAATTTTGAGAGGTAATTTTTTAAAAACTTCTCGTGCGAATGTTGCTAAACTTGTCAGTTTGGCTTAATTTGAGTCGTAGAATCGAAATATGGAAAGAAACTGGCATGTGATTTCAGAAAAAGTCCGATTTCATGTCAAAATACTCCCATTAAAACAATGCTATGTATAAATGTAATACATATCCTACGTTGCGAGACATAAAAAACGCAAGTTGAATTTCGTCAATCGGCTCAGTAGAACGGGAGATATAAAAACGGCCCCATTTTTGTTTTCGCAGTGTATCAGTGGAGAGAATGTCTCACAGAGTGAGGCACAGGGTCCCGTGGTGACAACTAATGTCTGCAACACTTGGGTGTGTCATACTGGACCCACTTTTTATCGCTGGAGAGTACTCGATCAAATATGGATGCATTGTGGTGCCGAGCAAGCAATGACAAACAGGCAGCGAGACGCTGTTGCTTGTTTGTATCGAACAGTGAGTAGGGTACTCACTTGCTCAGCATATATGCCTTTCCTATGCGGTGTAAATGGAGTCTTGGTAGCCTTGGGTCTATTAGCCTTGGGTCTATTAGCTTTCACGCAGTACGAGCGAAAGACACACACAGACGGCCAGACACTTCCTTTTATGTGTTCAAGTCGCCAAATTTGCCAGGCTTTGGGATGATGCCCTTAACGAACGAACCGCTAGGCAATGGTTCCAGAAGTTCAGGTCAGGCAATATGTCTCTTAATGATGCATCACGCAGCGGTCGGTCAAAAGCACTGGACGAATAGGTCCTGAGAGCAGCCATAGAGAGTGACAGTACCCAAACATGCGGTGGACTTGCTTCACATTTCCAGGTATCTGATGAAATCCATTTACACCGCATAGACTCCATTTACACCGCATAGGAAAGGCATATATGCTGAGCAAGTGAGTACCCTACTCACTGTTCGATACAAACAAGCAACAGCGTCTCGCTGCCTGTTTGTCATTGCTTGCTCGGCACCACAATGCATCCATATTTGATCGAGTACTCTCCAGCGATAAAAAGTGGGTCCAGTATGACACACCCAAGTGTTGCAGACATTAGTTGTCACCACGGGACCCTGTGCCTCACTCTGTGAGACATTCTCTCCACCCACACAAGATCATGCTCTAATCTGGTAGACTAGTCGCCAAGTGGTGCACTATGAGATCCTGTCAGTGGGCCAAACCACCACCACGGCAGGCCTGTACTCGCAGCAGTTGGAAGATATGCATCAGGCATTGTTGCATAAAGAACCAGCATTGGTCAATCAGAAGGGTGTATTCTTGCTCCATGGCAATGCGAGGCCGCATATGGCTCGGGAAACCAGGGGCACCATCCAGCAACTGGACTGGGAGACACTTCCCTATCCACCATACTCCCCAGACCCTCGCGCCAACAGACTACCACCTTTTCCATTCCCTGGGCAACCGTCTTCGTGGGAAATTCTTCAACATCCGGCCAGACCTCGAAAAGGACCTTCTCTTCTCTTATAACAGTATTCTTGTTTTCAAACCAAGTATTATCAATAAAAACTGCTCTAAATCTGCCTACGTGTTTCTTGGTTTATTTAACTAACCAAAGCATTAGAAATGCTTCTTACGTGATAAACGTTTGCCACAACCGAAATGAGCTAATGGCAACAATTTGTTTCCTGACAAGAAATATAAATTTGGTGTTTTAATTAAGCATTTTTGTGTAAGTTAGAGATTTTTATTTTTGAACATGCTAAAATATTTTTAACAATTGTTTCTTGAAGAATAAAATGAGTGTTATAAAATAGCTTATTTTTTATTATTAGATTTAAAAATGTGTTATTCAAAAAAATAATTCCAGGTTCATTTTAGGAAAGAAATTCGCATCAAGGTTTTTATTTGGAAATAAAACCTGATATTTAGAATCGTCTGTCGTATTAGTAAATAGGAAGACCGTGGGTATAGTACGTTTCATATAGAGTATCAGCAGAGATTAATCATAAGAAGTATTAAGCTCTTTACGTAAGCTGAAAAATAATATGTATATCTCATGCGACAGTCTTCTTAAGACTACCTTTTCAAAAGATGAGCAATGATTTAAATGAAGTAGTTACAAGTAATAATCATGTAATCAGAAGACATCATATTACAATGAAACACTTCCAAAATATTTTCTATTAAAATACGAAAAAATAAACAAATAAAAGTTATAAAAAGGAAAACATATGTCAGTTATCTGCTTAATAATATAATTTCTTATATTGTCAGCTAATAAATTAAATCTCATAGTATTTACTAATAATACTCATATTATACTAATAATTTAAAAACTCGGGAAATTACAGAAATTATTTAAAATATTTAAAATTACATTAATGCCTGATCATCGTTTGGATTCAGATGCAGTTAGAAGGACTACATTCAAAGAAAGCAAGAAAATTAAATTCAAATACGGATTTTATTATTTACGTGCATAATTCAGGTAATATTACGTAACAAAAATCTTGAGTTCTATTTAAATGCTAATTGCTTTATTTTTGGAAATCTTAGGACCTTGGCATAGTATTACAACTCGCGCATCTGAGGTACAAAAATGGAATCTGAATCTTGTAAATCAGCCAAAGTAGAACAAAAGACATAAAACTTCGACTTGTTTCCTGATTATTATATATGCATACTAATTAACCGGCGTTGCCAATTTATGCTTAAGAATTTTAAATCACTGTTATGATTTCTTTCTTAAGAATTTAATGATTCATGAAAATAATGTATTAAAATATTGGACATATTTCCTAAGTGAATCAAGTTCTAAAATTCTTTCCAGTTGCATCGGGTTTTCCTGCTCCTCTTTATCGAGCCTATAAACCACGTCGTGATGCATATGCGAACAAGGATTCATATGTGAATGAAAACCCGCAACTTCTTCCAGCTAGTCGCAAAGCTGTTGATATTGCTGCTTCATACGTAGACAGAGGTAAGGAAACCTAAATGCTTCCTTCATATATAGCTTATTTTATTTTACAGTATATGATAATTTTATATTTCCTAATTTCTTTGCAGTCGTATCATATACAAGGTGTTTATAAATGACTGGTGTGGTTTTATAAAATTAAAAATAAATCGATCTATTGTCTTACTCTTGGTAAAACCTGCATCGTAAGCATTGGCAATTGTCCAAGTTTCTCATGCGTTACCTACTGTTTACTTGTCATGCTTACTGCGCAGCCGCAGAGTCAGTTTGCTGCAATTTATACACATTTTATATATTTGTATTTGTGTAAGGTAAAAAAAACTATGATCAAAATACTGATTTTAAATTTGAAGTAAATTCTTAGCTATCAATTTTAATTTGAGTATTCCTTTTCTTAGTCCTCTAAAATTGGTAAATACTTTGTAGAGTTGCGCGCTTCCAACTTGCACGTAACCAAGAGGTGACTGTTGAAACTGGAAAATAGACAGAGTCTTGCTAAGGGTTTAAGTCCCTTTTTATTCAACTTAAGAAATTACAATTGCGTGCTCTTGACGCTCACAAACTACGCCGACCCGGCGGTAAAATAAAAATAAGAACCTGAAAAGAAATAATAACAAGACTAACTACGAAGCTCTCTAAAAGTAAATAACCTCACCGCGTTTTACAATACCGCTGCTAATTCAGTAAACTTTGAATATCACGTTGAACAATTAACAATTCTCCGAGGCAAGCACACAGGCCGAAAAGCGGGGTTCTTCAATTTCTGGCTAACTACCTCCGCGCTCGTGAAGTAAGAACAGCACACCTCGAACTCGTTTCCATTCTAGTATTTAACTCAGAATACTTCCGCTGATAATTTGAATCCTTGCGCGTTCTACTAAAATTTACATACTCTGGCATTGGCAGTTCCAGGGAAAAGTAAGGCTTGACAGGAAAGATAGTTTAAACTTAAAATAAATGTTAGTTAAAATGAATGTAAACCCTACAACTTAAAATAATTCAGTGTTTTGAAACTGCGTTATTTCAGAGTACATCCATGTCGAAAGATTCTCCCATAAAGCTGATAACATAGGCACTTACATAAGGTTTCAATCAATAATAATGTCAGAAACGTAAAATTAATCAAACAAAACAAAAATCTGAACTAAAACGAAATCATCCATTATCAAATTTTTATCTCAGACACGTCGCATCCAATGTCTACTTCTCTGGTTATTTAGTTTGCTGTCGCTTGTTTTCTGACCACAGTCTCTTAACAGGTAAGAAGTTCATTCAAACATGTTAGTACTTGTTTATCGGTGATGCTTAAACGCTTGTTAACCCAAATAACAAATTATTAAAATTGTCCATGACTGCATGATTTGTAATTATTGCTCACAACAGTTTCACACATTTTTTTTTTTGCAGGGGACTAAAAGAAATAAGAAAATAAATGATTCTAATTAAATAGAAGAAATTAACCTGAATGTCCTATTAAAATCCCATATTGGTGTTGTTATGACGTATGTCACTTGTCTGATAGTAACATCAGAACAAGCCCACGAAATTCATCAAGGCAAGGAGTGCATCTGTGCGACTTTGCTCATTTCCGCTCGCAATTTTGAAGGCGAGCACCTAGGGGGTTCGAAGTGTCTCTCACCTCTCTACCCCTAACACGAATCTGTCAAGAGGTCTTTCGGCTCGCCGCATATTCAGAGTGCTCCCATGCCGCACAGACACTATACATAAACGTCCATCCATACATTCTCAGGGATTAAAACCTGGACCCTTCGGTACGGCAGTCAGCGTTGCTAACTACTATCTCGCTCTGGTGGCATAATATCCCATAAATTACAATGTAGCGCAGTAATTTGTAAATAAAAAAAATATCAGTAAATAACTAAACGAATATCAAACATGAGCAAATTTCTCCCTAATTATTAAAGCAACAAAAAATTAACATTACTCATATTTACTTCCTTGTACGAAGTAAAGGAAGTATTGTAATCACGAAAAATTTCGGGTATCATATTTCAACGAAAATATCCATTGTGACCGCTATAGAATAACAATTTAATGATGTTTTTGCGTGACATCTGCATGTAAGGACAGAATAAAGGTCTCTATTTCCCCAAATGAATTGAAAAACTGATTTAAATGGATTCAGAAGAGATTCTTTCGTGCCGTCTATACGTATGTATGTATATATATATCTCGCATAACTCGAAAACGAATAGCAATTTTTATATCCCACTTCTTATTCTTTATATGTGTATAAATAATTTTAATGAAATTATATGCATGAACCAGTAGACTCTCGACATAATCCTCCTAAAAAAAAACCTCTTGACTTTCCTTCTTGGTTGAAATTTAGCTGGTTTTGATATGATAGTAGTTTACCAAGTCGAAAATCTCAGGGCTTTGAAAAGTAGAGATATAGAATTCCTCCCTTTCATTCGGAAAAAAAGAGCCTGGTTTATTGCATGAGTAGTGTGGTAATTTTAGTGTTACATGTAACATTGCATTTTCTCTTGTGCAATGCAACACGAAGTGCGTCGGGAAAAGAACATCCACTAGAAAAATTAGATTATAGGTGCAGGTCCCATTTAACACTGTGGTAAATGGCTATCTTGCAAATATGGCGGGATATCCCTAAGCTGGTGATAGTTTTTGTCAACTAATATTTTCGATAAATTTCACAAATAATCACCTAAAATCTACAAGCATGGTGACCACTGGGTGATATTTTCTACCGATTCCTGTGAACATGTTATTGGTCTGATCCCTATATGTATGTGCACCCATATCCCTCCTTAAGTAATTGTAATTATGTAGGACTTCCAGAAATTTCGAGAAATCGAAGCTACTGCAAATTTCTCAGACACTGAGGGGGGGGGCTATGTAAAACCGAAGAAAGCATCAGCTTTGAGTTTAATTCAGAGCTGACTATGGAGTACTGAGAGATATGAGTGCGAACTCCACTCTCTAGATGCGCATTGCGTTGTGTTGAACATTATTAGTAATTTCAAGTGATAACTACTTATTGTGCTCTTTCATATTGAGAATAACTGTACGAGTGCTTTTGTGAAAAGGTACATAATTGTAAAGTGTTTCTTTTTGGAAACTAAATTTCATCTCTCATCAGTTTTGTGTGCATTCAATCCATTACGAAATCTTACCCACTCAACAATGTTTAAAGATTGGTTCATGTTTCATTTCGTGCTGGCAGTTAAACAATATATTAACAATAAAATTTTACAAATTAAAGAATTTTTAATCTTACATAGTGCTCCAGGACACCCAAAATCTCTGCAAATTATATTCGCAAATCATTGTATTTTCCCCTTTCAATGCTACCTGCCTTATACAGCTCATGGATAAAACACTGATAGCTATGTTTAAAAATGTTATATGAGGACAATAATGAATCAGGCCACCAATACATCTGATAGGGAAGGTGAGCCTATGCTAAAAGACTTTTGTAAGCATTATAATATATGAATCGCAATAAATAATACCGGAGGTTCGTGGTTTGAAATAAAAGATTCAGCAATGAAAGTTTCTTGGAAGCAATTACGCCCGGAAATGATGAGAGATTTTGTAAATCCTGAAGAAATTTTGGAAATTATTACTGGTGAAAAATACTGAGTGTAATGAATGAGCTACACTTGGATGTCAAGAACGAAGATATTAATTAGTTGACTAAAGCTATTTCGGTGCATCTGTCTAGAATACTTAATTGAGCAATAAGTGGTAAATCAAATACACGATGAAACTGATAAAGTCGTCATGACTTTGACAGTCAAAAATATGAGCTGTTTATGAATCTTGACAAATTTTTGAATATTATGGAAAAGTTACGTATCCTAGATCTATGATTAAGAAAGACACAGAATGTATGCAATATTTTTCAAGAAAATAAAATAAAGAGAATGGTATTCAACTAGCTCTTGAAAGCTTAAAAGGAAAACACCTGAAAGAGGTTAAAAACTTATTTATGCATATTGGTAAATAAATTAATTATGCCTATTGGAATTATGCATATTGGTAAATAAATAATGTTTTTTATGAATATGCAGACTTAATATTATTGATGAATAAATATTCTAAAGTACAGTTTTAATGAAATGTTTTTTTTACATCCTTCTACTTTCTAACATTCAGAATTCGCGCATAATTTTAGGTTTTTACGGTTTTTCGGATAAATTAAGGTCATACTGATTCATCTAATAACGTTAGTTGCACAACCATGAACAAATAAATGAGTATCATCATTGAAAATGACCTTTTACCATTCATTTGTGGTCAAAGTTTAGGTCCATAATAATAATGTTTTTTTCATCTGACGTGACAAGCGTTGATTTTAATTAGCTTTCTCGCCTTCAGACCAGCAGTGAGAAGTCTAGACCGATCATATGAAAGAAGAATAGCATGATCAATAGACAACAAATTCGTTCTAAGAAATTTTGTTTTAGTAATAACGCTATCTCAGAGTAGGAATCTGTCAGACTTTGGAGTTATTTTCCTCACATATTCCTTTTCGTTTTTGGAGCAAAATTTCCAGTTTTATTGACCCTCTAAGAATTCGATAAATGGTTCATTTTCCAATAGTAATCTCAGAACCAATATTTGTTAAAGTTATGGATATGTGCCTATTAAGTGTGATAATCTCTGCTCTCTTTCTGGGCGTGCGGTTCATTTTTAGTGCACTAAAAACAGCAAATGCAAATTGCATTAAAAAGCATATAAAAGTAATTTCATTTTCTCATGGAAACAAGCTTAAAATGGTGCGATAATCCTAATTTATTATCTACATCAGTTCGAAGAGGTTGTAAGCAGGAGTTCTGACAATATTAAACTACATTAAATTGCCTTCAGGGACTTGCTGACACCAGCTGACAATGGACTTAAAATTCTCTTAAAAATCCCATGAGATTATGAGCTGTGGAAACGCAAGCTATAAAACATTCTGGAAAAGGGAAATTTATGGGATTTAATCGACAATGATATACGAAAAGATATCACTGCCGAGTAGATAAAATGGGATGAACAAGCAGAAGCTACCATAAGTTTACTCGTAGAAGACAGTATACAAGAAACGTACATACACTTATTCTTCATTATATAATTTTTTAAATATAATACAGGGCGATAATATTTGGTGGCAAAAATTTGAAAAGTGAAACAATGTTTGTAGAGAAGCAACGCAAAATACCAAAACGAAATTAATAGTCCTTCTGGGCATATTGCGCCTCGGACAAAAAAGATTAGATGAAGAAGGTATTGAAAAAACAGATATTAAGCATTTACTGGCATGTAAGAATTGTATTTTCCTTTTCTTCACATTTGCTTAAATTTCATTATGAATTCTCTCTGAACTTATTGATCAATACTTGATTGAATAAGAATGGATTCATTTTTTGTTTGCCAAAGCGTCGAAAATGATTTCACGTTAACTGTTACGATTTTTGTGGTGCTTCCAAAACTATAAATGGACAAAAAATTATAAACTATATAATACATTCATTTTAGTTTTACTACCTATTGAAGATTTAAATGTACACGCTATAATCCGATAAATTAATAAATTAGGAAATGTTTCTTATTGAATCTGGTAAAGTGTAGCACCTTGAAGGAAACTGAATTTACTAATTTTACCCGTGAAGTTATTTAATTTTCCATAATAATATTTCGACTTGATTACCTGCACATCAAAAACAAATAAAGAATTAAGTCACATCATTTTAGATATTTAATCAGAAATCATTTCCAAAATAAAATAGCAAAAAATTGCAAATAACTTCTCAAAACGTAAATTATAGTCTAAAACCAAGTTCTCATGAATACATTTCCCAATGACAAATTTCGATGTCCCTATGAAACGTTCTTAATCGCTAGAATTTATTTTTTTAGAAATTAATCAAGGAAATATATCCTAATTATTTTAAACGCATGTTTTCTCACCACTTAGATTTTTTTTTCCTCACTTCGCTAACACTAATTTGGTTAGTGGTTCGAAAATGCAGCTGCTTCGAAACAACAGTATTGCATACTTATTTCTTCTTCCTTGTAACTCAAAAGTTGCTCATTTACTCTTTACTTGCATTAACCTAAAAGTTTTAGTTTTCAGAAGTTATTAAACTTAAAAATTTCATACTATATAAATAAGACACTTGTAATTGGAAAAAGCGAGAAGCGACCGATGTCTCTTTCTGCTCCCCTGGTACCTACTTCTAAATTCTCGCGCACCTACTTCTGCTTCCCTAGCACCTTCTTCTGATTTCGAAATTCTGGTAATATCCAAAATTTTCCTCGTGGTGGAAAAAAAAAAAAAAAAAAAAAAAAAAAAAAAGATAAAATAAAATTTTGAAGTGTTAAGCTGGTTAACAGTTTCACCGTGATATAATTTTTAAGAAAATTTCTAGATGTTTTCTTTTAATATAAAAATAATATTTACGTTTTGTGCATTCTGAAATGTTAGAAACCTTATGATTTCCTTAAAAATAGTGTTATTTTGAATTTCATAATTTTAAATCACTAGTTTCTCTCTAGCACAAGACATTGTTCAGGAACATGCAAACTATTTTCACTACAACAAGGTAATCATTCTTAGTGTTCTCTCAAAGCAGAAAATAACCAAGGACGATTTAATATGAATGTTGAGGATGAACAAATACTTAAAACTGTTGTTCATGCTAAATTGTGGAAGCAAACAATATATGTTCTCTTTGAAAAATGTATTTTCTTAGAATACATTCAAGACTTTTACATATTTTTCGGAATTTACGAACATGACCTTGCTATATGAATATTGTCGACTTTCGAGTTACGTACAATATAATGACCATTTAACAGAGAATCATTTTATCGCCAATCGCTTCTAAAATCCTAAGTCGTCAGACAACTGCATATAAGTAGACTATGAATATATATATATATGTGTACTATGAAAGATTGTGAATATGTATAAGTACATAATCAAGCATGCCTTAAAATGTACTTTTCCTTCTTTCACAGATATGCGAGGAGATGAAGAAATTTATAAAGAAGGTAATAACCATTTAAATAATTATTGGGCAAATTGTTTTGCTTTCTTCAGTTTTATTCGTTTATGACATGTAATAAAATACACATTTAATTTAGAAGTACGTAAGTTAGACAATAGTGACGTTGTAAATCTTAGTCAATCTGAGACTCAGTTTTGCCCTATTTAAATTTTCACTTTATGCGCACATTTTCTGCATGAGTATGCATGCTGATATTTTATTCCATTTGTTCCATATTTCGATTTCCTGATCACTAAATCAGGCTTCGTAAATACCATTTATAAAAATTCATATTTATTTGCTTTTAGTTTGCCATGTTGAAGGGAATCGAATAAGTTGAGACGCAGTAATACGAGCATAATTTTTAGTTCATCCTGACACTTGATTTGCAAAAATGAGCACAGGTTGGTAATTCCATCAAAAGATCAAAAATTGGGTTCGGTCGAGACTCCATATTATATTATAATAGATTTAAGTCTCATCTAAGGGCCGTACCTCGATGCAAGACACAAATCACTGAGCAATAAAATCCTCCTATTCGGTGGAATAAATTCAATCGTAGTATGGAAAGTACGTTTAGCAGTTTCTAGTAAAGCACTTTCAGATATATCACGGTGCAGTTTGATTTGTTACAAATCGAAATCACTGTTCAAATGAATTTTAAGTGACTTAAGTGCGAAGAAAGCAATGATTTAAAGATAAAAGGATATTGGAGACCTGCATTGCTTAAAAAGAACATAACAGATCTTAACAAATCATCTGGTGCCAAGTTAAAATCTAGATCTCACAAATTTTTTTCTCTCCCTCCCGTTTTCTTAGGTCTAAGTATGTTACTCTGCAAGCCGCAAGAAATATTACTTTAAAAACTTTGTATAAACTACACCTGTTTATTTGTTTGTATTGTAAATCAAGTTTGGCCTTGTAATAGCTACGTATGCTTAATAGAACTGCCCACATCACGTTCATGATAATACTTAACGAAATCGAAATGTGAAGAAAGTACGATAAATGCTCTCAACAAAATTAGTCTTAGCAAATGATTTGCACTGTGACGAGATTTCTATATCGCAAACAAAATATTACAAAAGGAGTATTTGAATATTGCATAATAACTGCTTTATTTTCTACTTCAACTACTTTCCATTGTAAATTTGCAGATGCCGCTGCAGCCGCAGGTTTACAAAATTCAAGATTTATGAAAAGGTCTGCAGATGCTTCTCAAGGCTATAGAAGTCAACGAAGCTATGGACTTCAAGGTAATGAACAAGCCAAAAGTAATCTTGTAAATATTTTAAGACAGTTTTAGGAATTAATTCAGGAATTAAAGGTTGTGTAAGCAGAAATAACGATTTATCGAATATTTTTAGCTGGTTAAGAACAGCTACTAAAACTTATTTTTGCATTTAAACTGTACTTTTTAATTATGTCTTTGAAGAAATATCCCGAAGTTTTTTCAATCTTCTAATATGTTGCACCGTAAATAACAAAGCAGTTCTCGTGTTTCAGAATAAATAAGAAATGGCTTTTCCCTTTAAAGAATATCGTTTTAAACTTATTCATTGTGTTACACTGCCCAAGTCTTCCTTCGCCAATACAAATGTGGTAAATAATTTCAATGAAATTAAGTTTAATCAGGGTCTTGGTAATTCGTTATACTCCGATTAAAATTTTAGTATGAAGAAAATATGTGTGATTATTCAGTACTCGCTTTGTTTACTTCAATGTCTAAAGCTGTGTTAATTGCAACTATCTTTTTTTGAGGGGGGGTTACAACGACGTATTTGACTTGTCTTTAAATATTCGGAGATATATCCTTGTATTAACTTTCTCTAATGATTATGCTTTAGCGAAACATTTTCTCTGCCATTGTTTTCTCAAATGTTTTCGTTCATAGCGATGTCATCTGCGAATGATAAAATAATTATTTGATTCTCATTATTTTTGATCGTAACTTTTGAAGTTTTAATTGATGAATTAAATATTTAAATGTTTCCAATTTATTCGAGAGAAAATATTTCGTTCTTCCTCTGTAGTTGGACAAGCCGCACCAGACGCACAGGCATACGGAATTAATCAAAATTATGAATCTGCAAAAATCATTGCAGCTGCCTCTGGTCCTGCACAAAGTTCAAGGTTTATAAAGAGGTCTGTGGATGGTGAAGGCTATGCAGGTCTACGAAACTGTGGACTTCAAGGTAATGCACAATCAGAAAATAATCCTGTAAACGTTTTAACTGCTTTTAACTAATTCTGGGAATTAATGTCCTTTTCACTCAGCAGAAATACCAAGTTTGCTGAATATTTCTAATTGATTAAAATGAGATACTAGTGTATGTTACATATCTTTTATTTAAAGTGTACTTCTTAAACCATGTCTCTTCAAGAAATATGTTGCTTTTCTGATGTATCTGTAAAGTAAAAAGATGCAAAGTAAAAAGAAAAAAAAATCCAATGTTTTTCTTTTATTAAGCAACTCACTTTCCAATGTTATTCATAACTTAACTCTGCCCTAGTCTGACTTTGTAATGCAAAAATATGATATATGTTTTCAATGCAATTAAGCTTTGCTTATAAATTGCATCTGAAACTGGCGATTATCAGTGTTTTGATGTATGAAACTTTGTTTTGTTTAAGCTTGTACTATATCTAACATTATCTCTTAGAAGAACATCTTAGTGAGCTGAAAAGCCTTATGTTTAAACAGTCAAATCGACTTGAAGAACTTAAATTAATAAAATGTTTACTAATAATTTAACATGATTTTAATTTGGCTTTAATTTAATTTTTTTTTTTGTGGTAGAAGAGTTTTGGCTCATCTACTTTCAAAATTGAGACAATTTAGTGAAAATTTAGTAAATTTAATTTCAAATTGGTATTTTATGTAGTATTCTGTGAAATACTGCACTATCATTTTCATTCGAACTTCATTTCCTGGGAAAAAATAAAAATGTAAAGAAATAAAACCTTCAATTAATAAGTAAAATCACTTTTGAAGTATATTTCAAAGACTAATCATAAGTTCATAATATTCTGTTTAATATTATGACCCATAAATATCCGTTTACTGAATATTTCTTGCTGGTTAAGGAGAAATTTAAAACTCACTTCTCTGTTTAAATTGTGGTTCCTAATTTATGGCTTTTGAAGGCATATCCTTTATTTCGTAATTTAGGGGCGTAAATACGCGTAAATTTCTCGCTATGCCATCGTATCTACTGTATTGTTATCGATGGTTACAGTTAGTTATCCTCACAGGAAGGAAAATTTGTGCTCTTAAATGTGCGTTAAGTGATATCGAGTACAATAAGAGTGAAATACTGAGATAAACTGCTCAAGCACGTCCTATACATCGTATTCCCCCAGTATGCACTAATGTAACCAAATATGGGGGGGCACAAAGTGTAACCAGCAACTTTACATTTATCCTTAGAAGTCAGATCCAGGACTCATTTTCCCACTCACACACATTTGCTTGATGGGTATAATTATATCAGCAGAGAGCTGTGATCAAAGAAAACGTTCTTTCTCACCAAGATTTCTCCATAGACCTTATAAGAAATAGACTAACCCAGTGGGCGGGGCGCGCGTCACCGACATGTCCGCATGAAAGAGTAGGGACGATCTGGTTTATTTTAACACTGAAACCTATGGCGTTTGTACCACATAACGTTTTTTAATTATTAAATGTGATACGTTGTATAGTGATGAGATTATGAAAGTCACAGTTTTTTCAAAATAGGATTTGATAAATCTCATTAAAGCACTTTTTACTACATTTCGCGCATTTTCCACGCGTAATTCTTGTAAAACATCTTTACTTTGGTAAAACGGTAAAAACTCTAAGCACAAAATTTATGGGCTTAATTTTGCGTACAAATAACGTAAAATTAAATAAGATTGATAGTACTTGATGCTTTGAAATAAATAACGTAAAATTAAACAAGATCTGATATTTTTTTTTAATTTAATGACCATTTTTAGGCAGTGATTTTCAAAACTATAATAACATTAGAAAACAATCATTTATTTGATTATATCATCATTGACTTATTAAAGTGGAATATTTATTTTAATAATTTATAAAATTCGAGCATAAAATTTTCTGAGTGTAATGAAAGAAGAAAAAGATAAAATAAAATCTAGACTCACTGAGATTTTATATTACGCCGAAAAGGAACCTTTTTTTAACGTTTTGTGTTGTACCTATATTTATTGAATATCATATTCTTCGACCGTAAACCACACATATTTGAAAACAGCATACCTTTAGAAAATTTCCGCACTGGAGATAAAAATGTTATTTTCCGTACAGTGTTACAATTACTCGCTTTGAACTCGTTGAGTTTATTAATCAAAAATTCGTTAAAGTTTTACAAATATGAAATAAATTAAAAGAAATTCGAAATTTGACCGTCCAGATGCCCATGTTCTGGTGGAGGATTTCATTATTCAAAATTTGATGACTCTAGATTCTGTCGTTTTGTCACAGGGCGAGAAACTGTGACAAAATTGTATGCATGAATTCATGTTGCATACATGTACTCATGCAGATTCTTCATTATTTAATTTCTTTAAATATAATACAGGGCGATAATATTTAATAACAACAATTTGCAAGGAGACACGGATATTTATAGTGAAACAGTGCAAAATGCCGCTTCGAGCTAATAAAGTAAACAGCAAATAAAAAAAATCTTATATTAAAAATAAATTAAAAAAATAATCACTATAAAATACAAGCAAAATTAATTATTACTGTTAAATACAATTTTAGTATTAAGTGTATAAAAATTAAGGAGTCAAAAGTGTTTATCACTATCATGTATTATGAAATATGATTGAAATAAAATTCCTTTATAGAAATTGTGCTATAATACTCATCTATAATTTAAAAAAAGCAGCACAATTTTGAATTTTAAACAAAACTTTACAAAATTCGTTTTTAAATATTTTAGTATTTTTTACTTATTTACACCAATAAAAAGCATAAAAATTACAAGAGAAAATTCCTTGTTTGAAATTTTATATTAGTTCAGATTTAAAATATTATTTTCTAAAAGAAGTAGTTACAAATTTCCTTACAGCATAGGAAAAGCTAAAAAAATATGCAGCCCTGAAAGCATGCAATAGCTTTATAATTATCTGGAACGCTAATTATGCTCGATAAATATGCTAACTTTTTTAAAATCAATCTCAGTTTCAAAAATAAAAATATGGAGAATTTCTAATTTGTGAAATGAGGCGCTACAACCAGCTTTTTCTTGACAATTATACACGCTGCAATAGGCAACCCCTATTAAATTCCTGCAAGTCGTCCCTACTCCTCCAAATGTGATTAAGGTGACAGCTGGAAACGCGTCAGACGAGGGAGAAAACCCATTTGGGTTGGTCTATTTCTTATAAGGTCTATGGATTTCCCTCATTTTTTTGTTTCCACCCACTCATACCCTCAGGCCCTCATTCTGTTTCGCCCTGTTTTTAGCATTATCTGAAATTTCATCAGCTATACTTTAAGCATATTTAATTTTTGTGATCATAAAAGAACTTCCCCCCCCTTACTATCAGAGCTTAAATTAGGCCAGAACCCACCGGATCCCGGCTCCGTTGCTTCTTAGTTTTTGTAATAAATCATAATTCTAGTCGGAACGCACTGGAGCCCTGAATAAGAAAGCTGCGGCACTTCTTTCGTGTAATAATAACAATTTCAGTAGAAATTTTTATCTCGAATTAAAAACCGCTTATTAAATTTAATTTATCTCTTTACATTTTATTTTATTTTAATTATTTAATTACTTTAATCTTTAATTATTTCAATAAATAATATTTAATGAATTATCTAATAATTATCAATAAAATTATAATTAATTAATTATGCAACAATTATTGATTAAATAGCAATTTATAATCATTAATTAAGTAGCTATTAATTAATTCAATAATAATTAACTATTTAATTTTACAATTATTAAAGAGTTTAATAGTCATTTTATTTACTCTTGTTCCCCTTTGCTGACGGTCTTCCATAGGGCTCCGGCACTTCTAATTTTAGAAATTAAGCCCTGACTACTACTACTACTATTAATAATAATAATAATAATAATAATAATAGAATTTTTTATTAATTTTTGAATTGTTTTCAATTTTTTTTTTCATTTTGTATTATAATTTTGGGCTTTTTTTTCTGATCTAGCTTAGCGATCTTAGCTTTTTCATTTCATAAATGTGCTAATATAGAGTAGATATTTATCTGCTATTTTTAATAATATGCTTGTTTAAGGTAGTAATAATGTTTGCCATTTATGTTTCATTGTCAAAGTTTTCGAAGGAAGGAATTTAGTCTCATGTTCATGTAGGCTTACTTTAAAATTTATGTTTCTAAATTCCTGCAATATTGCACGATGATAATTAAATTTCTTGACTAATGCTACTGCTAATGCGCATTTTTTGATATTTTTAACCAAAGTACCTAATTTTTAGAATATTTGAAGCAAACTGAAATTTTTATTTCAAGCATAAAAAATCGGATTACATTTTATGCTAATTTTAAGCAAGTTATTTAAATTAATTTGTTTGTTAATTGAATTCATGAACTCAATCAAACAATAATTCACCAATGTATTCCGGATTTATTAGGTAGCTGAAATTTTAAGAGATCTTAATAGTTTCTTTAACAATAGAATGTGTGGGAATTAAGTAGTGAAGATTTTTAAAATTTTGAATGTTTTACTTTTAACGAGAGAAAGAGATTTCAAGTATATTTGACAACTCCTGTATTATAGTAAAAGTTTTCTGCCAAATCAGCGATGAATTTCGAGGAGTAGGAATTATATTTTTATTTTTGTTGTCCCTTCGAGGTTTCCTTTTGGTTGTCATTTGGTATCTCTAAAAGATTTTAGAAATGCTGGAGTAACTTTTATTAATTTTATGCTGGTATGAATGTGCTTCAGTATTTCAGTTCTTATCTTTTCGATTCATAATATCAGTCTGTTAATTTACTTGCATGCAATTTTGGAACAATTGTCATATTGTTTTTATTTGTTTTTGTGGAATTTATTATTCTTTTTATCTTGATTTAAAAAAATTGTTATCGCCTGCTTCACAGTTTTTCAAACAGGTGAAATAAAATATGAATTTTTAGTTATTTTGGGCTGAATAAGATTACGTTTTGTTCTACAGAATTCCTAAGAATTATTTCCCATTAAAACATTTTTGAAGACTTTCAGCTGTTACAAATTAAGAGGAACACAATGCTACTAGATGCAGGAAGAACTATGAACTAATTTATTTTAAAAGAATACTAGCTGCCTCCCAGACGGTAAAGTGGGTAGTGACTCTAATGGCTGTACCGAAAGGCCCGAGTTAGAATCCCAGAGAAGGCATGGATGTAACTTGTCTGTCCCCACAGAGGAGGCAATAGTGGCCCACCTA